CTTTCCAACCCAAACCAGTCTGGGATTGGTGCCCATGAATCTATGAGGTGCCCATGGGAAGCTCCTGCATAGCCTCAAGATGCTCCAGTGGAGTTTCAGGTTGGACATTGGGAGGAATTTCTCCATGGAAAGGGCTGTCACGCATTGGAAGGGGCTGTCAGGGAGATGGTGGAGTCACCATCCTTGGCGGTGTCCAAGGAACCCCTGGACATGGCACTCAGTGCTCTGGTCTAGTTGCCAAGGTGGTGATGGGTCACAGATTGGACTTGATGGACTTGGCGAGCTTTTCCCACCTGGATGATTCTGGGATTCAGTGTGGCTTGGTGGGACTGAGTGCTCCTCGCTGCCTCCCACTGTGTGGCCACTCCCAGCTGGAATGAGCTCGGAGAGGGAGGAGGTATTTATACCCAGTGTGGGGGAAGAGCAAGAAGGGAAAACACCCAAACAACAGAATTGCTTCCAGAGTGTGGGAAGAGCCCCTGGGAGCTATTTGGAGTGAGGGGATCAGTTCTGGAACGTGGAGGTAAGGAGCAAACAGATTTCCAGGCTATATTTATCCTCCTGGCACGGTCAGGCTCTTCCCACTTGTCTCTGGTGGGAGAGAGACTTTGTAGGATGACTCTGCTCCTCACACTCAGGGAAGTAATTCCCAACTCCTGCCTTCAATCCAGGTGGGAGACACCCTAGGTGACATTTGACCAGGACAAGAGACACCCTGAGTGCCATTTGGCCAGGTCTCCTTGCTGCAGGAGCAGCATCAGGATCATCTAGGTGGGATGTCACTTCCCAGTGCCTGGCTTGGCTGTTCCAGGCCTTTTTGTCCTTGCTCCTTTATCCTCGTCCTCCAGGAACAGTTTCAGCTTCCTGTGGGAAGGATGATGCCTCCTCTGGATGTGACACTGAATTCATGGGAGACCTTGGAGCCAATTCCAGTGCCTCAAGGGGCTCCAAGAGAGCTGCAGAGGGGCTTGGGACAAGATGTGGAGGGACAGGACACAGGGAATGGCTTCCCACTGCCAGAGGGCAGTGAGAAGGAATTCCTGGCTGTGAGGGTGGGGAGGGACTGGGATGGAATTCCCAGAGCAGCTGTGGCTGCTCCATCCCTGGGAGTGTTCCAGGCCAGGTTGGATGGAGCTTGGAGCAACCTGGGCTGGTGAGAGGTGTCCCTGCCCATGGCAGGGGGCGGGATGGGATGATCCCTAAGGTCCCTTCCCATCCAAACCAGTCTGGGATTATATAAAACATTCCCACATCACTGAAGTGGAAATGTGGCTCACATGACTGTGCAAGAAGCAGGATGGGAGCAAGGAGCAGGGATATATCCATGGCCAGGAGGGTTTGGGCTGCCTCTCTCCAAGCTGCTTCAAAGTGAGGAGCCTGTTGAGGCAGTGCCTGGTGTCCTTTGGGAATGGCTGTGGGATGGGGATATCCAGAGGTTGTTTTATTGTCCTGAGCTCGGCCTGGAGATCCTAAATTATGGAATCACTGAATCATTTAGGCTGGTAAAGCCTTCCAAGATCGGGTCCAACCATTCCCCCAGCACTTCCAAGGCCACCACTAACCCATGTCCCCAAGTGCCACATCCACATGGATGTTAAATCCCTCCAGGAATGTGAGTGCTGCCTGATTTCTGGTGCCCATAGCTGGATGCATCCTTTGGCAGCCTTTCTGCTGGCTCTTAAATCCAGAGTTTCCTTGCTGGAGACCTTTACAGTACAGTTGTTTGTGGGAATGATTCCCAGGAAATGAATCCTGCCCTTTGCAATGCTTTCCCATCCTTTGGATATGGAAAGAAAGTTGTCTTGTTTCCACTTGGATTTCACCAGTTTCTTCTCTCCATGGCAGGGAGAACCGGAATCGCCTGACACAGATAATGCTCCTCAAGTCCCTCCTCCAGGTAGGATCCTGTCACCATTCCCACAGGAGACTCCAACACCCCTGTGGGATCCCAGGGAACCATTCCCAGAGGAGAATCCAACCCCCCTGTGGAATCCCAGGAGGCCATTCCCACAGGAGAATTCAGCCCCTTTGTGGATCTTAGGGGACCATTCCCAGAGGAGAATCCAACCCCCTGTGAGATCCCAGGAGACAATTCCCAGAGGAAAATCCAGCCCCCTTGTGGGATCCCAGGGGACCACTCCCATGGGAGAATTTGACCCCTCCATGGGATCCCAGGGCCTGGAATGGCCAATCTGAACTTGGAGACTCTTCCTAGGGATGATTTAGGAAGAGCTCAAGTTGGGTTCTAGCCCTTCAAGTGACATTGTCCAATTGCTTCCCATTTTTCCTGCATGCTTCCAGGTCTCTGTGGGATTCCAGTGCACTAACATGCTGACAGCACTTCCCAGTGCCTTCCTGGACAGACTTCTCTCCTCAGCCCTCATGGAGGATCCCGAGATCCGACTCTTCGTCCTGGAGATCCTCATCAGCTTCATCGACCGCCACGGGAACAGGCAGAAGTTCTCCCCCATCAGGTGTGTCCTGGGGTGGTTCCCTGCACACTCTTTGGAGTAGGTTTGGGATGGAGCTCCAGGGTGGAAGCACTGGCAGGATCAATAATCCACTACCAGTTTTGGGCTGGTTTAATCCTGCCCAACTTGAACATCTCTGATGGGTTTGAATTCACCTTTAGCTTCTCCCTTGTTTCCTCCTGGATGGCTCATTCCCATCCAGCAGCTCTTCAGGCATGTGGGAATTGCTTTTCCTCCCTCTGGCATCTGAGTTTCCTTTCTCCTTGGCTTCTCCTTGCAGCACCATCAGTGACATCTCCGTTCTGAAGCTGAAGGTGGAGAAATGCTCCCGACAGGACACTGTCTTCATGAAGAAGGTAGTGCCATCCCTTGTTTCCTCCTGGATGGCTCATTCCCATCCAGCAGCTCTTCAGGCATGTGGGAATTGCTTTTCCTCCCTCTGGCATCTGAGTTTCCTTTCTCCTTGGCTTCTCCTTGCAGCACCATCAGTGACATCTCCGTTCTGAAGCTGAAGGTGGAGAAATGCTCCCGACAGGACACTGTCTTCATGAAGAAGGTAGTGCCAGAGTCAAACTGTCGCCTCTCTTTTGTCCTGGAGCACCTCAAAACCTGAGAATATCCCTGGAATTCAACCCAGTGGGATTCAACCTCCATGAGTGCTCCATGCATGGCTTTTCTAAGCTCCTAGTAGTGATAGTAGTACTTTGCCCCTTTCTTGTGTCCTGCTGCTTTTCCCTCTCCACGTTGCCATGAGTGTTGTTCCCATGGGATTCTCCAGGGGTATCCGTGTCCCTTTGTGTCCCCACAGCATGGGCAGCAGCTCTACCGCCACATCTACCTGATATGCAAAGAGGAGAGCAACGTGCAGGCTCACTACGAGGCTCTCTACAGCCTCCTCATGCTCATCAGCATCGAGTTGGCCAACGAGGAGGTTGTGGTGGATCTCATCCGCCTGGTGCTGGCAGTGCAGGTGGGTGGGGAGCACTGGGAGAGGGTTTTTCTTGGAGTTGGGAAGTGGTGGAACATCCTGGAGGTGTTCCAGGTCAGGTTGGATGAGGCTTGGAGCAACCTGGGCTGGTGGGAGGTGTCCCTGCCCATGGCAGGGGTGGGATGAGATGATCTTTAAGGTCCTTTCCATGATTCTATGAAGTGCTTCACCTTCTCTCAAGCCTCTCCCATCATGGTGGGCTCAAACCAACATGCTGGGAGAGTCCTAAATCACCTTTCCAGCCTCAGAATGGCAGGACAGGTGATGCCATGAGGTGGATGAGGACCACCCCAAGTCCTTGCCCATCATCTCCTGTGTTGTGTCTCTGCTGCAGGAGGTTGCCCAACTCAATGAGGACAACCTGACGTCCTACAACCGCTGTGCACTCTTTGCCCTGGGAGCAGCTTATCTGAACCTCATTAGCCAACTCATCACCGTTCCCACCTTCTGCCAGCACATCCATGAGGTGAGAAGGAGCATCCAGGGACAGGACAGGACTCTCCTGCCCATCCATGAGGTTTGAGCTTGGCCCTTTGTTGTCTGCAGGTCATCCAGACGCGGCAGAAAGAAGCTGCTTATCTGCTCCCTGAGGATGTGTTTGTGGAGAAACCCACGTAAGAGCCTGGAGAACACTTCCTGCCTGACTAGCTGCTCCCAGGGGATTGGCATCCAGGAGGTTGTGGGCAGGAATGGGTGGTGAGGTACTGGGACAGGTGTCCCAGAGCAGCTGTGGCTGCTCCATCCCTGGGAGTGTTACCAGGCCAGACTGGATGGGGCTTGGAGCAACCTGGGATAGTGGTAGGTGTCCCTGCTTTAAGGTCCTTTCCCATCCAAGCCATTCCATGATTATCGTCCATTCACCTGCCTGTGCTTGTCTCCTTTCCCAACTGGGCAAGGCACAGTGGGAAGGACATAAGTGGTTCCTTGAAGAGAGGAAAACCTGCTGTCACAGGTTCCCTCAGGACTAGAGGGAATGGCATGGATCTGTGTCAGGGGAAGTTTTGGTTGGATATTGGGAAAAGGTTCTTCCCCCAGAGGGTGGTTGGGCACTGGAGCAGCTCCTTGGGGATGTGGTCATGTTCACAGTCCTACCAGAGCTCAAGGAGTGTTTGGGCAACACTCTCAGGGACATGGTGGGATGGTTGGGATGTCCTGTGCAGGGCCTGGAGTTGGACTCAATCCATGTGGATCCCTCCCAACTCAGAATATTGCATGATTCTGTGATCCCCATTGGTTTTCCTCTGCCTCCATAGGTTGAGCAAAAGCCTGGACCACTTGGGCCCAGAGGTCTTCTTCTGGCAGAGCAAGATCAGTGAGGTCCTGGGGGGAAGTGGCTACAACTTGGAGCGGCTCAGCACACCCTACATCCCTCAGCTGACAGGTATGGAATGTCCTGGGACACCCTGGGAGCTGGGATGGGCAGAACTGCTCCCTCCCTCTGCATAGTGTGAGGGTGGGAAGGTCTTGTCCTACACTTAGACACAATCAGGACCTTCCTGGTGTTGATGGATGGATGGATGGATGGATGGATGGATGGATGGATGGATGGATGGATGGATGGAGCTCTGGGCTTGTCTCCAGCTCAGTTCTTGGCTGTGGATGAGTTTTAGGGATTGGCTCAGCTGGATTGTGATCCTGAGGGTGGGATGTGATCCCTGGGGGAGCTGCAATCAGCTCTTCATCCCTTTCTCTTCCTCCCCAGACGAGGATCGATTGTCCAAGAGGAAAAGCATTGGTGAAACCATTTCCCTGCAGGTTGAGATGGAGTCAAGGAACAGTCCAGAGCGGGAACAGGTACTGTGTGATCCCAGAGCTTCCTCATCCTTCCAGGACACCTTCAGGTGCAATTAAACCCTCTCCTAATTAAGATCCATGCTTAATTGTTCCTCTGGCCACAACTGCTGGGGCATCATCCCTGGCAGCATCAGGAACCTCCCAATCCCTCCTGATCTCTGAAATTTCTCACTCCCTCCCACAGATCCCATCCACAAGGGGAGCCACACAGCAGAAATCTGTTTGGGTGGGAAATGATGGAATCATGGGATGGGTTGGGTTGGAAAGGGCCCTAAAGGTATGTCATCCCATGGACAGGAACACATTCCACTGGAAATCTTTGTTTTCCATATGTGCATACTCCATAGCAGTGGGAGCTAAGGCCTCACTGGTCCAGCCTGGGAGAAAACCACATTGTTAGGAAAGATATTCCTGATTTTCCTGTGTTTGTGGTGCAAGTATCCAGCCTGGTGCTGTGATCCTGGAATGGGATCCTGTGCTTGATCTGGGAATGGTGTCCCAGGGTGTGCCTTGAGCCTCACCTGCTCTTCCCTTTCCTCCAGAGAGCACCAGCAGAGGAGATCACCTACGAGACGCTGAAGAAGGCAATAGGTAAGCGAGGGAGCCGCAGGGGGATGGACAGTCATGGAATATCACTCATTTAGGGTGGAAAAGCCTTTGGAGATCATGAAGTCCAACCATTCCCAGCACTGCCAAGGCCACCACTGACCATGTCCCCAAGTGACACATCCACATGGGTTTAAATGCCTACAGGGATGGGGAATCCACCCCTGCCCTGGGCAGCCTGTTCCCAATATCCAACCTAAACCTCATCCTGTCCCTTGTTCCCTGGGAGCAGAGCCTGACCCCACCTGGCTGCTCCTCCTGTCAGGGAGTTGGAGAGAGCAGAAGGTTCCCCTGAGCCTCCTTTTCTCCAGGCTGAGCCCTCACGGCTCCATTCCCTTCCCTGGGTGCTCTCCAACCCCTTCCCCAGTTTCATTCCCTTTCCTGGACACTCTCCAACCCCTTCCCAGCTCCATTCCCTTCCCTCCACACACACCACAGATGGAAGTCCCACCAAACCCACCCACTGGAGCTCCTCTCCTTGGCTTCCTCACGCTTCCCAAATCCCTGTGGGGATGTTTGGACATGGTGATCCCTGTGGGTGGGAGCAGCTGGGAGCCACCTTCCCTCTGCTCCAGTAGACAGTGTGGCCGTGGAGGAGCAGGAACGGGAACGGCGGCGCCAGGTGGTGGAGAAGTTCCAGAAGGCTCCGTTCGAGGAGATCGCGGCTCACTGCGGAGCACGGGTGAGTCCTGGATGGAATAGCCCAGCCCTGTGCCCACCCTGCCCTGGGCATCCCAGTATCGCCCAGTAAATCCCAGTATCTCCTGGTATGTCCCAGTTGTCCTCCAACATAGTCCCAACTACCTGTGGTCCTAGGTAGGTCCTAGAATGGTCCTAGTCATTCCCAGTATGATATCTCCATGGTCCTAGTCACTCCCAGTGTGGTCCCAGTTGCACTGGGCATGGTCCCAGTCACCCCCAGTGTGATCCCAGTATGACCTCAGTATGTCCCAGTATATCCCAGTTGCTCTCCAACATAGTCCCAACTGCCCCCAGCATGATCCTGGTCATGCCCAGTATGATCCCAGTCACACACAGTGTGGTCCTAGTTGCACTGGACATAGTGCCAGTTGCTCCTAGTATGATCCCAGTATGTGCCAGTATCTCCCAGTATATCCCAGTTGTCCCCCAGCATGGTCCCACCTGCCCCCAGCATGGTCCTAGTCATTCCCAGTATGATCCCTATCATTCCCAGTGTGGTCCCAGTTGCTCCCAGTATCATCCCAGTTGCCTGCAGCATGTTCCCAGTCATTCCCATCATGATCCCAATATGATCCCAGTCACCTTCAACATGGACCCAGTTGCTCTCAGTGTATTCCAACTGCCCCCAGCATTATTCCCAGTCATTCCCAGCATGATCCCAGTCACACACAGTGTGGTCTCAGTATGATTTCCAGCATGATCCCAGTTGCTCCCAGAATGCTCTATCACTCCCAGTTGCTTCCAGCATGATCCCAGTTCCTCACAGACACTCTCAGTCATCCTCAGTGTTGCCCCAAGTGCTCTGAGCATAGTCCCAGTCACCTCCAGCATGACACCAGTTTATCCCAGTTGGGGATATCCAAGTGGGAATGACTGGGACCATGCTGGTGACAAGTGGGATCCTATTGGGAGTAACTGGAAGGGACTGGAATCATACTGATGGTGACTGGGAGCAAGTGGGACCAAACTGGGTGCTACTGGGACCACACTGGATGCTACTGGGAGCCAGTGGGAGTAACTGGGAGCACTCTGGGGGGGGGGACTAGGACTATGCTGGTGGCAAGTGGGATCCTATTGGGAGTGACTGGGAGGGACTGGAATCATACTGAGAGTGACTGGGATCATACTGGGGGGGACTGGGAGCAAGTGGGACCACACTGGGTGCTACTGGGAGCCACTGGGAGCACTCTGAGGGAAACTGTGACCATGCTGGGGGCAACTGGGAGTGACTGAGTCTATGGTGGGAGCAAGTGGGAGTGACTGGGAGCATGCTGGGGAAGACTGGGATCATACTGGGACTCATGGTGATGGGGAGTTATTCCTGTTATCCCGCCATGATCCCAGATCCAACCTCCATGTCCTGTGTTCCAGGCAACTCTGCTGCAGAGCAAACTCAACCAGATCTTCGAGATCACCATCCGGTGAGTTGGGAATGTCCCAGAATCCCAGGATGGGACAGGCTGGGAGGGATCACAGTGGGGCATCTGCTCCCACCTCCTGGGTCATCCTGGAGCACCTGGATTGCATCCAGATGGCTCTGGAATATCTCCAGTGAGGAGAATCTGTCACCTCTCTGGGCAGCCAGGGCCTGCTCCAGGAGCTCCATGTCCCTGTTGTTCTGAGGAGCCCAAAACTGGACACAATACTCCAGGTGTGGCCTCACGAGGTTCAGGTTCACGTCCCTGAGCTGCAGGCAATGCTCTTCCCAATGTATCTCAGGATTCCATTGGCCTTCTTGGCCACAAGGGCACACTGTTGTCTCATGGGCACTTCGTTGTCCAGCAGGACCCCCAGGTCCTTCTCCACTGAGCTGCTCTCCAGCAGGTCACCCCCAACCTGTCCTGGTGCTCTGGGTTGTTCCTCCCCAGGTGCAGGACCTGTACTTGCCCTTGTTGAACATCAGGTGGTTCTTCTCCATCTCTCCAATCTGTTGAGGTCTCTCTGAAGGGCAGCAAAGCCCTCTTAGGTATCTTCAACTCCTCCCAGTGTTGGATCACCAGTGAACTTCTGAGGAGGCATCACCACTCTCATCCAAGTCACTGATGGATAAGTTGAATCCCATCTGGGGTGATGGGACCAAAGGTGTCCCCAGTGAGGAGGTTCCTGTGCTGGGGACATCTTCCAGCTTGGCATTGTGCCCTTTGTGGTGGCAAGAGGAGCCAAGCACTGCTGGGACCAACCTCTGGCTGGTTGTGGTGGCACTTAGGGACATTGCAGGCACCCATGTGTCCTACACCAAACTTTGCTTCCTCACCAAACCACCTCCTTCCATGTCTTGTGTTGCAGGCCACCTCCGAGCCCCTCTGGCACCATCACAGCTGCCTATGGCCAATCCCAGAACCATTCCATCCCGGTCTACGAGATGAAATTCCCGGACCTGTGCGTGTACTGAAGGTGTCCCTGCTGGTAGAGCAGAGCCACCTGTCACACCTCACACCAAAGGACCTGTTTTTGGGGGACAACCTGCTGCCCCAGGTGGGGACATGGACACCTCAGGCCACCCCAAGAGCCGTTGGCATCACGGATCTGTCTGCAATAGTTTGGTTTTGGGACCTTTGGAGGTGTTTGGGAGTGATTCCCTCTCTGGCTGGTTGGGAAAGGGTGAGGAGAAGCTCTGGCTCTGGGCAGAGCACGTTGAGGTGAACATCTTCCCAGCATAAAACCTGTTCCCTAGGGAATCATTCCCTAGGAATCAGCTATGTGGAGAGCTCCAGGGCTGGACTGGAGAGGGAGATGGAGAGGCAGGAGGAGATCTGGGAAGGGCCCAAATGTGGAGCTCAAGGGATACATCCCACATCCAGCTCCTGTGATCCCACAGCTTCCCAGAGCTTCCCACATCCCTCTCCTCACGTGGCTTGATACGCTGGGATCATCACAGTGACCCCACGGCCTGGATAGAGGCCAGGAAGCTCATCCCATCCCAGTGTGGACACACCCAGCAGCCTGGCTGGCTCCAGGTCACTTGGAAACAGGATTTTTTTTGGGGAAAAAGCCACATTTTTTGGGAAATCCCACATTTTTTGGCAAATCCCAGGAGCTGTGTGTCCCACTTGGGTCACCACCAGGCTGCTCACAGTGGTCTGGTGTGACTGGGACAACCTGGAGTTGGTGGCATGAGGCACAAGCTTGGGAATATCAACACACAAATCCCTATTTTCCTACTTCTGGGTTGAGTTTTCCCAGTTTTGGGGCTTCCTGCCTCAAAGAATTCCTTATTTATGGTTATTTCCTTAGCAGAATCACTTGGGCAAAGTCCAATCCTGAAGCAGCTGAGCTGTGAGCACCAAGAAATCCCAGGAATTAGCTGACCAGAAGTATTTTAGGGAGTCCATCCTGCAGTCCCCATGAGTGGGAAGGCCATGGATCATCCCTACTCTTGTGCAATAGGATAAAACTGGATTTGGGATGCAAGGAGGGATGAGACTGGTTGAGAGTAGAAAATTCTGGGTCCTCGCATCCCAAAAACACACGGTGGAAATGGTTGGGATGGGGAGGAAAGGACACTTTGGGATATCCTGGGCCTTGCTCCCAAGTGTTGGAGCTCTAATGCTGTCACAAGGTGGATTTGGGCACTTCCAGCAGCTTCCCAAGCATCCTGGAGGTCCCTGAAGATGTTGGGCAGCTCCTTCCTCTCCAGCTGGACATGCTCCTCCTGGCTTAGCCACAGAAGGAAGCTGGAAAAGGTGGAAAAGTGGGAGCTGCTGCCGCACAGGGCAGAGGGACAACACGTAAACCCGAACCACTTCCCTGTGGATCTCCAAGTGGTTCTTTTCAGCTCTAATTGCGCATTACCATCCCTGTTTTTTTTTTCCATGCTGGATCCAATTCAGGATGGCTCCGAGGTCATGGCTTGTTTGTGTGGTTGGGCTCTAATCCCGTCTTAGGGAATGCTCCAGCTTAAGAGGACAGGAAAAACAAGGGGCTATTTCTGTCCCTGTCCCGCTGTGCCCGAGGCTCTCCCCTTGCTCCTGCCTCTCCTCAGGGTCCCTGTGTGTCTCCATCCCTTATTCCCAATCCCATTTTGCTCCCTGTGTCCTGCTGGGGCAGGTCTGGGGCTTGGTGGTGGGAATATGAAGCGGGAAAAGTGTTTGCTCCCTAAGGAAAAGCACTAAAATCCTTCACTTGAAACACAGGAAAAGCAATTCACTCCCAAATCGTGTGTCCATGGAAAAAAACCCCCACCTCTAAACCTCTTCAAAAAGTGGGAATATGAGCACAAGGTTTGTTGGAGCTGCAGGAGAGGAGCCATGGGGACACCAAGGGACACATCTTGGGGTGTCATCACCCCTTTGGGGCACCAACCACCCTTGGCCTCTGCTCTTGGACTGGGAGCTATCCTCATGGAGCAGCCCCAGATCCCTCCACTCCCAACCCTTTCCCCTTGCTCCATGGGATCCTGGGGCCGTCACCCCCAGGCTGGTTGTGTCCCCAGCATGTCCCACCATGGCCCTTCCACGTTTTGGGCCCCAAACTCCACCTGTAAATGTCCCACCCTGGTGTAAGTGACCTGTTTGTACCTTACGTTTAGTTTAGGTCCTTGTTGTGCATAGAGATGCCAAAGGTAATTCCATAGGTGCATGTGTGCATTCCCATCTCCATGTCGGAGCGCTGTGGCGCTTCCGTGTGTAGCTGATGGCACTGGTGGGGGGAGGGAGATATCCAAAAGGTCAACAAGTCGTTAAGGATTCCAACTGCACCATCTCAATGCCCTTTCCCAATAAATGTTGATGTTGGCACCACAAGGCTCTGCTGGCTTGGAGTGTTCGTGGCAACCTTGGAGTCATGGAATCGGTTGGGTGGGAGGGGATCTTAAAGCTCATCCAGTCCCACCCCCTGCCATGGGCAGGGACACCTCCCACCAGCCCAGGCAACAAGTCGTTAAGGATTCCAACTGCACCATCTCAATGCCCTTTCCCAATAAATGTTGATGTTGGCACCACAAGGCTCTGCTGGCTTGGAGTGTTCGTGGCAACCTTGGAGTCATGGAATCGGTTGGGTGGGAGGGGATCTTAAAGCTCATCCAGTCCCACCCCCTGCCATGGGCAGGGACACCTCCCACCAGCCCAGGCTGCTCCAAATCCCATCCGGCCTGGAAATGGCCTGGAACACTCCCAGGGATGGAGCAGCCACAGCTGCTCTGGGCAACCTGTGCCAGTGCCTCACCACCCTCACAGACAAGAATTCCTACCCAATATCCCATCTCTCCCTGCCCTCTGGCAGTGGGAAGCCATTCCCTGTGTCCTGTCCCTCCAGGCCCTTGTCCCAAGTCCCTCTGCAGCTCTCTTGGAGCCCCTTGAGGCACTGGAAGGGGCTTTGAGGTCTCCCTGGAGCTCTGTTTTGCCCCTTGTTCTGTCATTCTCTGTCCTGAATACCTCTCCATGGATACCTTTCTCTCCCTGGAAAAGCCTTCCCCCAGTGCAGCACTCCCATCCTTGGGTTGGATCCCACCCCCAAACACACTCCCCATCCCTTTCCCAGCCATGTTTCTAATCCCACCCACAGGATTGACTTTGGAATTCTATGCTTTGCCCCAGAGACTCTTGCAACACCTTTTCAACATGCCAAGAAAAGTCTTCTTAGTGTTTTATTTCCTTTAGAATTCCTTTGATCTATCATTTACATATTGTACAGCTCAGGGAGATATGGAAACCACCCAAGAGGCTCCAAACTGGGCATCAGTTCCCACATGCATCAGTGACCAACTGGTTCACCTCTCCACCCTCACCCTAGACCTCTCTATCCCATCCTTAGACCTCTTCACCCCAACCAGTTGACTTCTTCATCCCAACCCTAGACCTCTCCACCCCAACCTTAGACCTCTTCATCCCAACCTTAGTCCTCTTCATCCCAACCTTAGTCCTCTTCATCCCAACCAGTTGACCTCTGTATCCCAACCCTCGGCCTCTTGATCCCAATCTTAGACCTCTCCACCCCCACCTTGTATGTTATGTCTTTATCCCAACCCTAGATCTCTTCATCCCAACCAGTTGACATCTTCACTCTCACCCTAGACTTCTTCATCCCCACCCTAGATCTCTCCACCCCAACCCTACACCTCTTCATCCCAACCCTAGACCTCTCCACCTCAACCTTAGACCTCTTCATCCCAACTAGCTGACATCTTCATCCCAACCCTAGACCTCTTCACCCCAACCAGTTGACCTCTTCATCCCAACCCTCTTTCCCACCCAGCAAATCCCAGGAGCACTAATTAAGGAGGACACCACGAGTGATCTCTAAGTGAAACACATGCCAGTGGGACACTAAAGCTACAGGGGGGAGGTGACAGGAGGTCCCTTGGGCTCCCTCCCCCCTCACTGCCCCTTCTTGTAGGCGCTTTTGACGATGGCATTCTTGAAGAGAGTCACTAGTGGGGTCTGACCATGCTCTGAGGTCATGAAGCCTCCGTAGCGCTTGTCCTTCAAGGGCATGTGCCAACGGAAGTGCCTCATGCGGTAGGAGCCACCAGCTTTCTTCTCCTCTTCCTCCTCCTCATCCTGGTCTTCCTCCTCTTCATCCTCCTCCTCAGGTGCTTCGGAGGTGGTGATGGTGCTGAGCTCCCTCCTGAACTCCAGTGGGTAACTCTCAGCTGACTCCTCCTCCACCCCGTTGGGGTAGACCTTGATGGGTCTCCTCTTGCGTCCCACCGGCTTCCCCCAGCGAAAGTGCTCCATGGAGTAGGAGCGTTTGCCTTCCTCCCGCTCCAGCCTGCCTCCCTGCTCTTCCTCATGCTGGGAAAAGGGTATAGCAGGTGCTGGCTCATCTCTGGCCACCACCTCCTGCCTCTTCTGGCCCACGGAGCTGCTGTTCCTCCTGCCGAACTTGTTCCAGCGGAAGTGGCTCATGACGTACTTGCGGATGTTCTCGGAGAGAGGCTGCAGGTGCCCATTCCCGGGATACACAGGTGCCTCAGCGGAGAGGTCGGCTCGGCACGCTGCGGCGCACGCCTAGAACGTGGAGTCATGGAACCGTCAAGGGTGAAAGAGACCTCTGAGGTCATCGACTCTAACCATTAATGTCACTGCTGTAACCCCCAACCCTAAACCACAGTTGTCCTGTCCCTCCATCCCTTGTCCCAAGTCCCTCTGCAGCTCTCCTGGAGCCCCTTGAGGCACTGGAAGGGGCTCTGAGGTCTCCCTGGAGCTCAGTGTTTGGCTTGAATCCCTTGGAGCTCATCCCACAGGAATTGTCTGATGAGAAACTGAGAACCTCAGCCTGGAGCCATCCCAGCCTGCAGCATCCTCAGCTCCATGGAATCACAGACTTGTTTGGGTGGGAAGGGACCTTAAAGCTGATCCCATCCCACCCCCTGCCATGGGCAGGGACACCTCCCACCAGCCCAGGTTCCTCCAAGCCCCAGCCTGGAATACTTCAGGGATGGAGCAGCCACAGCCTCTCTGTCCTTGGCCCCAGACCATCCCCCACCCTGCTGAGAGTCACTCCACAGAGTCAGCACCACTGTCACCCCCCCAAGCCACCACCCTGGTCCCTTGGTGGGGTCAGAGCCCCTTCCTGGGCTTACCATGACTCCATCCTCGCTGCTGAGATCCTGGCACTTGGAAGTCTCCCAGCATGGACCACTGGCACTGGAGGAGCTCCAGAGCAGCAGCCCCAGCACCACGGAGAAGCTGCCCCAGAGCATCCTGGGGCTGTGGGACCAACACCGGGGCAGGAGCTAGGCAAAGACCCAACATTCCTCATTGCATCCTCAGGAAAGTCTTTTGGGATGTGTCCACCTCACCCTTTCCCTTCTTTCTGGTGGGAATGTCACACCCTGTGGCCTCTCCCAGCCCTGCCCCTTCCCTCCTTTGTGACAATTGGATTTTTAAGGGATTTAAGGGAAAACTAACCCTATCCCAACCCAAACCCAGCTGGAAACCCCTCATTCTGCCAAGCTTCCAAAGGATTCTCCTGTGTACCCTTGGAGAATTGGAGTGAGTCCTTCAGAGGGGAAACTGAGGTACAGGAAAAGGAAGGTGATCCCTGGAGCTGCTTCCCTGCAACATTCCCTCCTGCTTCTTCCTTTTTGCCTTTGGAATGGAAAGACTTGGATAATGTGGAAGTTGGTTGGATTTTGGGAAGGGCTATGGGAAGCACTGCTGGTGGACAGTCCTGGTGGATGGGGTGTGATGTGCCCTCAGGGATGCCCCAAATTCCAGCTGGAACTGAGACTTGGAGCAGCTGTTGCTGCTGTGCCATCAAGGATGAGGTTGGGATTGGTGCCTGGGACCTGGTTCCAGGTTTCCCAAGGATTCTCAGGCTGTTTTCCCACTGCGAATCTTTCCCAGCTCCCATGTCTCAACTTCCCCCAAGCTGTGGGAGCTCCACAGGAGGAAAACCTCATCCCACATGGAAAGAAAACCCTAATTTTGGCCCAAAACGTGTGGCTGAAGAGGAGATCTGACCCTTCCCTCTGGTGCTGGGGCATCCAGGAGAAGCCTGGATGGAGGGAAACTTCCTCTGGCAGAGAGAAAAAGGATCCTGCTGGTCCTGGCATCAAAGAGGGGCTCAGAAATTGGGATCAATGAAACAGGTCAAACTGGAACACAGATTTGGCTTTAAAGGGGAATAACACGGGGAAATGGATCAAATCTAAGGATAAAGCTTGGACTTCTGCCTTCTGCCTGGATTTGTGGGTACCCCTGCCAGGGATCCAGCAGCACATCCACACCCAACATTCCAAATAAACAGAGGAGAGAGGGGGTAAAAGGCTGGAAAAGGCAGGAGAGGATGGATTTGATCCCAAATCCCTCCCTGCCAAACCCTTTCCCGGCGCCCATCCATCACCCCGTGCAGCCCCAAATCCATCTA